CAAAGTTTGCTAAAAGCCTAAATCACAGAGAAAATGAGATACTCACAGTTGAGATTACGGGAGAAATTTGTACTTCCTGATTGGAAGTCTGTTCGTCTAAACCAAGCTGGCCAGCCGATCCAAGTTCATCTTCTGGTGTTGGTTGAGTTAAAGAGCAGGACTCAAGTGGTTGACATTTCTGACTGGCTGGCACTGGAGGAGTGGTAATGGAAGGCGATGCCTGGCCAAAGGCCGCATCCCGACTTGTGACAAGTCGCACACGTATCCGAGCGTTGGAGAAGGCGTCTCGTCGAGCCAAATAGGCTGAATAACACTCCTCACAAACCTCAGTCAACGACATTCCAGCTGGTTCAAGCCTCCAGTTGGGCTCGGCAACGGGAGAGTTGACCCCTTCTTGGTCGAAGCAAGGTTGGGAGACTAGATGGAGACTAAGAGGAGGCAGCAGGGCTTCATCTCTATATAAAGTGGAGTGGAGGAGAGCAGACCATTTTACAACGATAAAAACAGCTTTTTTTACATTTTAGCTAAGTCACAAAGACGTAGAACTTTTCGTATTTTCTACAAAAGTTCTTGTGCGAAAATGACAGATAAAATTTTAGCTAATAGCCAAACTCGATAGCCATAAGATCCCATTTTCTATTAAGAATTGTGGAAAAGTGAAATAGGTAATTTGTAATAATTGCCATAAGTTTCACAGAATGCCAATTTTATTAATTTTCATGTACATTCTGCCTCTACAGGTTGTCTATTCATAATGCACGAAGGCATGAATACAGATCGTTTTAGGCGTCTCCTTGTCGTATATCCTAGCTTCAAAGCGTATTTTCATATCCTGACTACAACATCGGGTGAACAGCGTCTGTTCACCTGCTAGACCGTCAGAGGCTAACAGGATGAAGCCTGAAAAAAGGTGGTCTTATAGAATAAAAAAAGACAAACAATAGGATATCGTTTGATAAACTTGGCTGAATCGCTGCATGCAGGCTAACTATCACGGCATCTTGGCCTATGTTCAGTAAAATCTGGTCAATAAACTGCATCCGAGTAACCGATTGGTGCGGGCTAAAACGACCTAGTTAATCAAGCCATCACCATAAGCCTCATCAGGCAAAAGTTATTGCTTATCTTCATCCCTTCAACAGCTAGACCGAGTCAGTATAACTGCAAAGCCTATTGTGCCTGAGAGGGGTTGTCTTATTTTAATATAAATGGTGTATGTATGCATGTAGAGAATATATTATAAATTTGGCTGAGGTTTGAAGAGTAAGAAAATATCTATGCTCAAGGTAACCAAACGGCAGCAAGGAAATAAAATGACGCTAGTAAGCTTAATCTCTCAGGAAACAAAAAGCTCTATAGTTGTAGGGCCTGATTAAAGATCTTTATGACCAATGCCAGGGCAAGACCGGAGAGATAAAATATGATTAAGAGACAGAGATGCGAAATGAACCCAAGCTTAGTAGGCTAGTGCAATGATAAAGCGTAGTGCTAATGGGAGCAGTGAGAATTCGTGAGTTCATGAGCAAAATAAGGGGCAAATGATTCACAATCAAAAGCAGTGGGCTAGGTTCATTCGTAACCTGCAAAAACAAAGTAAACGATGAAGTAAAATCATGCTTTCAGGGCTACCGGGAGATCGTAAATGTGAGATGTATTCACCTTATTTCGTTTAAGGTGACGAAGGACTAAAAGTTGAATTTACCTCACAATTATATGAGCAGGCCTCCCGTTTCAATTGAATTCCACATAAACTTGCTTTCTAAAAAGTAGTCACATTCAGGCTCGACTGTACTACAGCTTCGACCTTGCCTGAGGCCCCATCAGCACTCCCAGAGGGACTAGAACTGTGATAGAGCAGTATATAATCTAGGCATCGTAACTCCTACTCTACACTACTAGAAGTGCCCTTGGGTCACAGAGCAGGTGCGAATCTTAAGGAAAGCCAAGTCTTTTTTCATATCACATTCTCTGGTGGGATTGTCGATGGAGCAGAGTTGTATTTGCTATGACAATCGAAACATTCCAAGGGTGATAATAATACCAGTTTATTAGGAAGCAAAATGATGCAAAATCCAAATGGGTATTTATTTTATTGTGGAAAAATTCAGCTACATT